TAATAATAAAAACACGCTAAAATTGTATAATAATAAATAATTATTTTTGAAGTGATTAATTAATAATGGTGAAGTGCTATTCATGTTCCATATATATTTTATATATTTTGCAGGCGAGACGAAATCGCCGATTACCTCTCCGAATTAGGTATACGTAATGCTACAGTTCACTGTGAATCACTTCAGGAACAATTAAATCATGGTGGTTTGGAAAGTGTTGTTGCAGTATTTGCCTCACCACCAAGCGGCATGGAGTTGCTTCGGGACCCATTGGAACTTATTTGTTACGGTTACGGAAATTTAGACTTGATGGAAAAACTTACCAGGTCATAAGTATATAATTTTAAAAATTTGATTTTGGTATTTATGTTTAAATTTCTATTGTTATTTAGGACTTTTTGTTAATGGATTGTAATGGATGGATACATTTTAGTTTCACGAACAAATAATTTGCAAAATTCGAATATTTTGTGTACGCAGAATTTTTATCATTAATCTTTTTAAAATAATTTTAGTTTAATTTTTTCAGCATTGACTAATAGTAAGCGCTATTTTTTTATTCATCGAATTTATATCAAAACAATGTCAAGTCTGCATAAAATTATAAATTTGTAGTGCACATAAAAGTTTTGAAATTATGTTTTTCTGTGAAAAAAAGAAAACGTTAAACTAAATTAACTTTTTTATATAGTTAATAATTTTCTACAAAACAGTTAGTTAAACTTGTTTATTAAGACTCTGAATTTCAGAGTAATCGTGTTCTATATATATAAAGATAAAAAAAGAATGGATTATTTTCCTATTTTTTTTTTCAAAAAATATATTAAAGATTGAATAGTTTTTTAAATTACAGGTAAATAATGTTTTGTTTTTCAATGTTTAATATATTTTTTGAAAAATTATATACGTATATACTTTCTTTAAGTTTTTTAATTTAATAGCAAAGTATGTGAAGCTTTTTAACTTTATATCAAACTATATAAAAAACAATATTTTTCTATATAAAAAATTATTTTTGACTAAATAAAGTATATATAATTATATATATATATATATATATATATATATAATTCCGGCCCAAAAATGATTTTCCGAAGCGATGTTCCAGCGCGTTCCGGCTCGACAACACCACTGTATATCTTATATAACTAGCTGTAAGTGGAATTCTGTCTTAAGGCAATTAAGGCATCGTGCCTTAAGGCAAATTGCTGGAACTTCCCGTATCATTTTTTTTTAAACGATTAACATTTTTGAAAAAAATTTACTTCGAAAAAATAAGATTTTTGAGAAACTATAAATTGGACAAAAAATTACTTTTTTTGAAAAAAAATTAAAAAAAAAAAAATTTTTTTTTTTTTTTTTTTTGGAAAAAAAAATGTTTTCTTTATTTTGACATATTTTGGAAGATCTAAACTTTCTTTTCAAAGCAATCGTACTGCTTTAACTGCATAAAGACGAAATTACAAAGCGCGTAAGCGCCGCGTCGCCGTCTAACGCATAAACATTGGTACGGAACCCATAGGACTGTAAACCAAATTCATACTTATTGTTAAAATCTCTATAAAATATCTGATAATTTGATGTGAATAAGTCTAATGATTATTTTTGACCGCCAAATGGCATTTTTTTTTTACTTTTTTCATTAGATCTCCGAAACCGCTAGACCTGCCTTTATGAAAATTTGATCGGTTGTTCACCTTGTCAATATAAGTAAAATGTTTTTTGAATTATTAAAATCGGACGCTCCGTTCTCTTAAAAACTGAGTTACCGTTTTCGGCACTTTTTGCCCCGTATCTTCGGAACGGCTAGACCTCCCTGCGCCAAAAACTAATCAGCACGTCTCCTTATCAATATAAATCGAATGTTTTTTGAATTATTCAAATCGGTTGATCCTTGTTCCCAAAATCGTCGACGAAAATTTGTATCCGCACATACATACACACACGTACATACATACACACACACACACACACACATACATCCATTTGACGTATGTAAATATAAACTGTAAAAAAATGTAAAAAAAACATAATTTAAAAACTTTTATATGCACTACAAATTTATAATATCATGCAGTCTTGACATTGTTTTGATATAAATTCGATGAATAAAAAAATAGCGCTTACTATTGGTCAATGCTGAAAAAATTAAACTAAAATTATTTTGAAATGATTAATGATAAAAATTCTGCGTACACAAAATATTCAAATTTTGCAAATTATTTGTTCGTAAAACTAAAATGTATAAATCCATCCTAAACGATTATTCGGATTTTGATAAATCTTTCTAAAGTTTGTTAAGGATTTTTTTAGGATGTATGTGATTATAAAAATATAGTAATATTGTAGAAATAAATAGAAAAAATTGCAAAAAACGACATGCCATTGTTTGACATTGAAAATATTTGAGACATTGTTCGGCATTGAAAACAAATGAAAACTGTCATCTGCCAAAAATTTCATTTTACTTATGAGCTAAGACATTATTAGAATATGTATAATATTGATTATGATTAAGAAAAATAAAATGTCTACATTATTATATAGAAAAAAAGAAATGGCACGCGGGCGCTCAGGAACCCAGGAGCGTCCCTGGTAATAATGTATAATAAATTATTTCTAAGAAAAATGTAATTTAGATATTATAATTACTAAAAACCAATTCAAATATTATACGAGATTATAAAAATTATAGAAAACACTATTGGTTCAATTATTTTGGATAAAAAAATCCAAGGTAATATTTTACTTTT